GCGAGGGGGAGGCGGAGGCGGAAGCGGAGGCCGGTGCGTCTGCGAAGAAGAACCGCATCCAGGTGTCCACCAACAAGAAGCCGCTCTATTTCTACGTCAATCTCGCCAAGGTTTGCCTCTACTGTTCACAGACACGTAGACATGCGTGGTCATATCATGCAACTCATAGTATAGTGTCGTCAAGCAAGGATGATTAACATTTCTGATTTGTATCAAGATAAATTTCTCACTCCGGGGTACCTACATATATATACCGAGATAAATAAACAACAATATATACTTATAAATAGCAATGCTTGGATAAGAATTTTCCACATGTTTTACAGTTTTTTGTTTCTCCAAAGCCGAATCTACTGTCGAATTGCTTTGTGTGAAACTACTCATGTGCTAAAAAAAATGCGGATAGTTCACATGGCGCACACACTGGGATCCCTCAATAGGATTTCAATTGTAGTATATAAAGCTTGAGGTCTCTAAACTAAAGCATGTGAATGTTGAGTGCAGAGGTACATGCAGAACTACGACGAGGTTGAACTCTCTGCTCTGGGGATGGGTAAATCTATTCAATTCCTATGCTACTCAATCACCTCCCCAATATTCTTTCATTCCCAGATGACGCATTACATTGTTTCTCTAAGGCATCAAATCCGGCCTTTTTGGTTGCAGCCATTGGTACCGTCGTGACTGTCGCCGAGATCCTCAAGAACAATGGCCTCGCCACTGAAAAGAGTAAGGCGTCGTCATACTCATACCTATATGATTACCCTCTGAATCTTGAAGCTTTAGTTTTCGTCCCACATGTATGTTTCACATTCTTTTTCTATCGATCGATCCTTTCTAGAGATCCTGACATCAACCATCGGCACCAAAGACGAGTCCAAGGGCCGGCTTGTCCGTAAAGCCAAGGTGGCATATGACATCTCGCTTCCAACCCCCCTCCCTCTTTCCTTCTGAACTCACTCAAGATCCCAGCTAGATCCAAATGTGTAAAATAAACGACACCATTTTGATCACATGTGTATTTTTCTTTTCGGTTTCAGATTGAGATTCTGCTGTGCAAATCAGAGAATTTCAACAGCATCATGTCTAGCAAGAAATCCGACCGCCTGAAATCCGCCGAGGAAGAGATCAAGGTGTGATCGATCTGATCAATTTCTCCAGCCGTTCTCCAGCAGGGGCCTCCCTCCTGTTCCATTTCCAGAGGTTGGCAGCTCACCACAGCTTGGATTGATTGGGCACCGGCAGTCTGATTAAGTACTAGTAATCAGGGTACCTTAATTACCTTATTAGTCGTTGTTGAGATGGATCAGATCTTGTGAGTTAAGTAAAAGCATGCAAGATATATATATGTGTCAAGTCAACGGCATCGCCACTACATTGAGATGATGATGACGATGAAACGGTTGTAGAATTTTACCAGAGGCTGGGAATATTATTTATGCATGTCTCTCTAGTTTGTTGTTGTATGTGAACAAACGCTAAAGGTTTCTGTAATTTTAATTTGCTGCTGTCGCTGGCAATTTAATTTCAGAACAACAGTTAATTAAGTTCCGCGTGCCACATTAATCTATGTAAGAAAGAAATATTGTTATATGTAAAAAGGCTATCGTTAGAACTAGTTAAACATATCTAATTGTGACAAAGTTTTAGCAAAATATACTAGCATCTGCAAATTCAAATAAATGCATACTCATAACCTTTTGCAGAGAAAAAACTAACTTTATAAATATGGACATAGTTAGAGAAATTTGACTTCGTAGCAATAACAACAAATATAATTTCACACACAAAGTACGGTGTTGTTTGATTTTTCTTGCAGTTTTTTTGCCATCGTAACAGCAGCTGGCTTATCAGCCGCAGAAACCATCAGCCAAACAGCTCGTTTGTTGTGCAAGCGGGCCGATTTATATATACGGTTTTACAAATATGCAAACATATATGTGTGCATTGCAATTGGCTAAATAATACATGCTCCCTACGTCCCAATAAAAGTGTCCTTTTAGCATTCAAAAGTTGTCGTAGAAAAAGTTTCATTTTAGGTGCGAGTCCTACGGCTACCACCCTCCACCGTAGAGTGCAAACTTATACTTTCACCTCTTCCCACCTCCCGCTCACTCGCTTGCTCAAAATAAAAGGCGCACCATCGGCATAGAGGCGGAGAGGGCAACGCGGCCGAGCACGAATTAGGTGGAGACGGAGAGATCCGGCGTTGAGGCGGAGCTAGCGGCGCGGCCAGGCGCAAAGGCGGAGACGGCCGGTGCTGAGGCGGAGCGAACGGACCCAGCACGGATCTTGCCCTTCCTCATTTTCTCCTCAACAGACACCCCCACCCCCTCTTCTCCTATGCCGAGATCTATCGCCCTCTTCCTCTTCTCCGCATCGACGCCCCCCCCCTCCTTCATTCTCAAACCCGCCAACGGAGTTCATGTGAGGCGGGCATGGCTGCGTGCCATCAAGGAGGCTTCTCGCCTGGGCCTCCATGTGCGTAGGCGCCTTGAGGTCAGCAGGCAAAGCGTGGAGGTACGTGGTGAGAATCACAGTCGTCGGGATCTGGATCAAGAAAATGGGGAGGAGCGCGAGAGAGTGTCGTGCGAGGACCGAGTAATGATTAGAATATAGCGGTAAAGGTCTTTTCCCTTCATCCTTAGCGTGTGTCCAACCCTCAAACGATTGTATTTCTACTAGGATATGGGGATTGAGGGCTAACAAAGAGCAGAAAAATAAAATAAGAAATCTATTTAACAAATATCAAGGTTGGCAAAACCATCCTATATTTTAATCGAGACCCTAATTACGACAACTCTTGGCAGCTTTGGCCCTAGCTAGAGATGGAAGGAGAACAATAACCAAGAGAGGTGTTTTATCTTCGAATAAAGGATAGTTCTATTTCTAAATACGGCATGGCTAGCGCCCGGATGTCCGGACACTAGCCCTCGTCTGGACACTCGCGCCTGCTCGCGTCTGCTGCTACTGCACGCCCGCGCCTGCTACTGCTACGCATGCCCACATACTGCTGCTACGCATGTTGCTCACCTGCTGCTGCTATATGCATGCAACACATGTTGCTACACCTACGCGTGTCTGCCCGCATGCTCTGCGCGCCCACGCTTGTTGCTGCGCTCGCTTCCCGTGCCTGCTAATGAAAACACTTGCAACATAAAGCACTTGCTGCAACATACGTATGAAACAGGTGAAATATTTGGAACACACGCTTGCAACATATGTGTATATCCACTGCAACATATGCAACATCCAGGTAAAACACTTGAAACATGTCTGAAACAGTTGAAACATTTAATACATACCCTTGCAACATACGTGTATAGCCATTGCAACATATGCAACACCGGATATACTTTTATAACATGCGGATGAAATACTTACAACATACCTCCAAACATCTAAAACACGACACATACGTTTGCAACATACGCTTTCAATACAACATGGTGGATGGCGTGGCGAACTGGTGCTGTGGAGGCCTTGCGAGACGGCCGCAACATGTGGGGCGTTCAACGGCCAGGGCGAATCCACGCGGGTGGGAGCGAGCAATGGCGCCTTGAGAAGCGAGGCGGGACATGCAGAGTAGTCCGTCTTGACGAACGAATGCCCGCTTCAGTAGCATTATCGTTCTAAATAAGGTGTAGGGATGTTTTCTACTCTCTCCTTTTAGGGCCCTTTGGAATGGAGTTGAAATAAAGGAAAAACATAGGATTGAGATTCCATAGGATTAAAATATTGTAGCAGCCTTTGGTTTGTAGGAATTGCTCATAGGAATTCTAAAGGAAACTTTCCTTTCCCTTCAATTCCATAGAAAAACAATCCACTTTAGACCTCATGGAAAAATCCCTATGCACAAGGAACAAGGCAAACAATGGATTTATTGGACCAGCTTGTGTCTAATCAAGAGAGTGGAATAGAAATAATTAGGTTGATTTAGAAAGCAATCACTATTTGCTCCTTAAAAATCAATTAAGATTCATGTATTTCTCGTTTGCCTATCAAACACCTAGCTATGAAAATTTCATATGTTTTCGATTCCTTTGTTTTGCACTTGCATTCCTATTCTATTCCTATGTTTTCCCTTTTCATGTGTTTTATCATTCCTGCAATCCAAAGGAGGCCTTAAGTTGTAATTGTAAGTCATTCTAGTTTTTCAAGGTACATAGCTTTTATTACGTATCTAGATATACATGAAGTATATTTCTAAATAGTCAATCAATCTCTTGACCTAGCCATGTTGGTTTCAATCGGTCTTACTGAGTCTCTCTTTAGTTCGTTGAGTTTGGATGGCTCGAGAATGTGTTGGCTCTTCTGGTAGAATGGGCTGGTTTGGGGTTGCATTTGTTTCAAAAGTTCTGTTTGACAGGGTCTCAGTATTCACTATTCAGTTTGCAATATGCGCAAGCAGAATATTAGACCAAAGGATGATGTTTCTTACAAGATGGGAACAGGTACTATCTGCATATGGATGCCAAAGTTGCAACAAACAGCCTAGGCTGGAACTCAAAACTGTACTATCCGCGCAGTTATCCTTACATTTCTCAACAGCACGGAAAATTGGAACCAATACCAAACCCATTATACAATCTCTGCCCTTGTTGTTCCCACAGCTACAAGAGGTGCAAATTGAGCAATGAGTATCGGCTATAATTCTGTATACATGCCCCCTACCAAAATCTTTTTCTTATGTACTAGCTTTGCTCTACAAATTAAGCAAACACCTATCCTAGCAGGGGCCATCATACTAGACACGATGAAAAAACCAACACACATGCTTAGTTGCTTGGAAGCAAGACGGAAAAGCCTCGAAAATACCCTCGGTGCCAATAGACAGCAGCAGTAACACTGAAGGTTGACGCAGCATTGATGGGCTTGTAGGCCTCAGCACAGGCAGCAACTATACTCTACCAGCTTTCTTTCTGTCCGAAGCCTATTATCATCTAGGGCATACTGTTGTCGAGGCCTTTGTCAATGGATTGAAGCTTGATGAAGGTTTCTCAATTATAAATTTTCACGGGCTTCTCATAGGTGTGCCGATTCTGCAAACAGTATAAAAAACAAAAAGAAGACTTGCTTCTAAGGTACACAAACATGGCAGTTAATTTGAGGAACAAATGATATACCCCCATCAAACCCACAAACATTCTACATGCACTCTTGCATGTAATGCATGATCATGATTACTCAGCTGCTCCCAACTTTTTGCACCACAAATTGCTAAAGCAAATTAGCAAAGCCATTCATGTTAATATTCTAAACACCCAACAACAGATATATAGGTGGGCAAAAAGATATAAGGAATCACACAAGCGCTGGCCTTCCGAGAGTAAAGCTACAATGACACATATAAACATAACCAGGAATAGAGTTCATGGACACATCAAACATATATTTCACTCATTTCGCAACAGAATAGCATTGCCTACCTGATTGGCTGTGTAAGACCTTTTCGATGTTGTATCAGTGTGCTCCAAGCCAAGGTATTGTTCCCAAGCACCATATACATCTCTCCTCTGTATTATAAAAAGCAAAGCATCATGTATGAACATAGTGAACAAAATAAGGTATGCATTTAAGCATACAGATGAAATCACTTGCCTGAAAACGTGCTGATACAACATCAGTGTCCTGGAGGTACTCTGGCCGGTTCATGGATATGAATGCAAGCTTCCACTGATCAAATAAACATTATCAGTGTTAGAGATGCATAGCAGTATGGATTGCTGGGATGAGAATGTTATAGTTTGCTAGAAATCTGGTATAAAGTAGTTAGGCATGAAGTTGCCAGAATTATGGCTCATCAATCCCACGTATAAACCTTCACATAAAGACAAGAATGGCTGGATTGAGGCTTAAAAGGTCAGCCCACCTACCAAGGTGCTCGCTTTTCAAAGGCGCTCAATGTCTTCTCTTGAAAGACAAATTCCAGCACCCATTCCTATCAACTAATAATGTTGTACTCCTCCCACTCCAAATTATAAAAACGTTTTGGCTTTCCAAGATACATTACTTTTACTATGTATCTAGACATAGTGTATATATCTAAATACATAGCAAAAGCTATGAATCTAGAAATGCCAAAACATCTTATAATTTGGAATGGGAGTAATAACTAGAGAAACTAAGCCCTTGACATGATTTTGCACAGTGCACACGCAAGGTGGCAGAGAGGTTTGCAACAATAATTTAGTTTCATTTCAGTGCCTCAGCTGGCCGAAGCATGTGCATGACAGGAAGGGGGCCAAAGCATATGGCCCTGACAGGAAGGGGGCAGAATGGCAAAAGGCAAAAGCTAAGACGGCAATTCCCGAGGGGCAGCAAGACCACTAGGTAGACAGAACTAATGGATAACTGTTGGATAGCAGTAAAACTTGGCAACCAAAATAAATTAACCCCATATTTGGTTGGAGCAATAAACAGATTACATTCAGCCCACGCTGTACCATTCTATAATAAATAGTAATAATATAAGGATATATTACCTTGGAGAACTCATCAGGAACTCTAAGTTTTCTCTGGATGCGCTCCATTACCTCTGCAGCAGTCTCACCTTCACGGATAACCATCAAAAAAGGATCTCCAAAATTCTGAATTTGCTGATTCTGATTAGGGTCTTTCATGAAATGGTAAACATGAATCAATCGATCATGTGGGCCGAGATTCTTCTCTTCCTCTGGGATCTGTTTCAAAATTGACAGAAGCAGTGTCATGCAAGACAACTTTACATAAGTATCACAGACAATTTTCTCATCTACGTAAATATAATTGTATTTTTTCAATAGAATAGATCAAAGGGTCAACATCAAGAAAATGAAATAATCTGAACCTCCTCAGCTCGTAATGTCCAGTACTGATCATTTATGTTCTCTATCTTCTCATGAGGCGGAAAGATCTGCAGAAAATAATTATATCATCCTAACAATGCCAAATTTAAGGAAAAAAGCGTAACACTAATTTTAGAAAGAAGTTAAGAAATTCTAGAACATTGCATTAGAAAGAGCCAGGACTCTTCATATGGGAAATACTTCACATAAACCATGCACGAACCTTATAAATCTTATGGTAAAATACTTCAAGCAAGCGGAGCTCAGCATCAGGATTAGATAGTTCAACCTGTTGAACATTAAAATGAGAATTATAGACATGCTTCAAACTAAGAAAAAAGGATACTATAGTAAATAGGTATAGTTATTATGCAGCAAACCAACAGAAACATCATATTCAAATTCAATTCAATTAAAATTCAGGAGAAACTCTGGGTAAACTGAAAGACAGATTTGTGATCACCTTGGTTTTCAAATCAGTAATCACGTCACTGATAGTGCTATTTCTTGGAAGTCTTATGCTATGAATGACAACCTGACAAATCATGTGCCTCAGTGACATAACTTAGGAATAAAATATGAGCATAGGAACTAGTGACAAACATGACACGAACCTCGCCTTTTGTTGCATGGTGGAATGCAACTTTAAGTGTTTTCAAACACTGCAATTCTGGCAGTGGAATGTCCAGAACCTCATAATACAAGATATCAGAAGTCTGGAATGAAGCAAAAGTAGCATAAATCACTGTCATGTTTTCAAATGCAGTAATGCACTTAATGAATAAACAAAGAAAGAGAATTCAACCTGATTATAATGAACAAGCATATCCAGTAGATGTTCTACTCCCTATATCTAATAGGCTGTGGTTTAGGTTGCTGAGAATAACAATTGTGAGATGTAAGACGGATCTTTGAGGGATCATCCAACCCAAGTTGATGTGCAATTCTCTCAACAACATCATCATAAGTATGAAGCTTTGACCTCACGTGAAAACAAGAAACACATATATGTAAGTTGATTCAAAACTATAGTTCAAATGTAAAACCAGTTTATCAGTTTGATTTGCAATCCCTTACAATTCTAAAGAAAAATCATCCTCCTTTGGTTTGTCCAGAGACCGAAAGTGCACAACCTAAAGTACAAACAACACAAAAGTTACAAGTGAACTCAGTAACAGTAAATTAGTTTACACTTCACAGAAACAGCAAGCATAACTATGCTTTCATAGTAAAACAAATCAGAAATAAAAAAATTTATCATTACAAAGCAACGACGAGAAACTATTTTACATAGAAAACATAGTTATGGTTTTGACAAAGTTATTTTACATTTACATAGTTATTTTACATGTCAAGGTAATTTGGTTTTGGTCCTCCTAATATATTAATTTCATAAAAGGTGTTAGGACTTGGGAAGCTCATGCTCACCACGAATACGTAAATGAAGGTGGAGAGAACAGTATGTCAAAAACACAGTGAAATAAGAGGAATAGTACAGCAGAGTTTGGTAAACAATGAGATAAGTTGAAAACGTTAGTACTGATTTGTATCCAAGTATACCTGCCTATTGTGAACATACTCCAAGAATGAAGGAACATCTGGATAGCGCACTTGTGTATCACCATCTGGAACAGGAGCCTTTTGGAAACAGATGATGTCTCCATCTTCAAGCTAAAGCATAAGAAAACAAATTCAAAAACAAAATAATCAACGAATGCCTTTGTTGACCATAGATCTAAAAAATGTCAGTAGTTAGCCTAGTGTTCATGTTTTCCAGTTACCTACTATAGCTATTTACTATTCACTGTCATGTAATTTTTCAGGTTCCTTGGCAACCAAGTTGATCATGGTGCCTTGGCAACCAAGTAGGAATCATAGCATCTGCTTTATGCAGTTAGAATATGCTAAGGGGTAGGTACACCACTTGCTTATATATGCAGTGGTTAGCATCTTTTGTATCCAAGTTATTGCAATTCAATACAATCCAAGCGGCCAGCTGGCTAAGCTGCCCTCTGGCAGCCCCAATTCGCCAACAATTGGCATCAGAGCCCGGGGTTGAGAGAAAGGGAGAGGCATGGCCACCTCCGCAGAGAGAGCAGCAGCCGCCGCTGCCGCCGAGCAGCGTGCGCAGCGTCTGGCCGCGGCAGAGGCCGCAGCCGCAGCAGCAGCAGCTCGGAACGCGGCCGCGGCTCTGCGTCGAGAATTGGTGGAGGAGGATCCGCCGCGCGATCGCCGCCCGCCTCCGCGGAGGAGCCCGGAGCGCGAGCGCAGGCAGACGCGGTCGCCCGATCGGGATCAGGATCGCCGCCGCGGACGGGCCAAGGGCCGCTCGCCGGTGATCCAGGCCGTGTACAAGGATTCTAGCTCGAGCTCCACCTGGCCGATGCTCACCAAGTCAAATTACCATGAGTGGGCCTCGATCATGAAGCTAAAGCTCCAGCGCCGCAACTCGGGACGCGCGATCAAGTACCGGACTCGCCGCATACCATGAGGACAAAGCGCCGCGGTGGAGGCGATCATCGCCGCCCGTGCCGCAGAGATGCACGATGCTGTTGTCGAGAAGGGATCGCCAAGGAGGCTCAGGACTCCGCCGCCGCCGCTTGCGGATCGGCGTCGATCGGGTGCGCCGCGCCCACGCTCAGCGACTCCGCGGCGACTAGAGAAGCTTCGCCTTCCGTCCGGGTGAGAAGATCGAGGACTTCACCTTCGCTGATGGCCTGGCGGCAGCTTCTTCTTCTCCACGGCGACAACGACATCGATGAAGAGCGCGCGGTGGAGAGAGGCTGCGCGCCGCCGTTGCCGGCAATCGCCCAGCTCGGATCGCCATCGAGGCGCTTCTCGACTTCCGTGGACCTCACCATCGAGGAGGTGTCGGGCGTTTGAAGACGGTGGGCGACATGGGGCGCCGCGTCATGAACCGCCGCCATCGGGCGATCTGCTGCCGACAAGGAGCGATGGTGTGCCAAGGAGAAGAGAAGGCTGCCGCTTCGCGTCGGGCAAGGAACCGCGACGTCGTCCACGCGGCGGCAAGAAGCAACGCAGAAGGGCAATCGCGGCGGAGGAGACAGGCGGTGGCGGCGATCGATCGCGGGCGGACGACGACACTGCCTCAATCTGTGGTGATCGCGCCACTCGGGCGCTGCTTGCCGCCGCCACCGCGCTGGTGGTGGTGACCATGGCGGCGGCGGTGGCAACGCGAGGCCGCTGTTGAGTTGATCGAGGTGGACGGCGCGGTGGTGGGCGTGGCGGTCTTGCACACGTCGCAGAGGCGGAGGACGATGATGGTGCTCTGTTCCTCGCCCACGGCTTCCTCGAGCTCGACGAGAACTCTGCTCCAAGGCCACGGCCTCCCTCGACATCAACGAAGCAGAGAAGGAGACCGGCCGTGAGCTCAAGGTGCTGCGGACCGACAATGGAGGAGAGTTCACCGTCGGCGAGCTGGCGCAGTACTTCGCCGCCGAAGGAGTCAAGCGGCACTACTCTGCACCACACTCACCGCAGCAGAACGGTGTGGTGGAGCGGCGCAATCAGACGGTCGTGGCAACCGCACGCGCGCTCCTGAAGCAGAGGTCCATGCCGGCCAAATTCTAGAGGGAGGCAGTGATGACGGCGGTGCATCTGCTCAACCGCGCGCCGACAAGAAGCTTGCAAGGCAAGACCCCCTATGAGGCCTGGCACGGACGAGCGCCGGCGGTGAGCCATCTGCGTACATTCGGCTGCGTCGCCTACACAAGGGAGCTCGGGCAGCTAAGCTCGACGACCGCGGCAAGGCTAGGGTCCTCATCGGCTACGCCGAGGGCGCCAAGGCCTACCGGGTCCTCGATCCGGCGACAGGACGCGTCAAGGTGAGCCGCGATGTGGTGTTTGATGAAGGGCGCGGCTGGGATTGGTCCAATTCGGCCGCCGGGACATCTGCTTCGCCTCCGGCGACTTTCGACATCGAGTTACGGGAGTCGACGCAGACGGAGCTCCGCCACAAGACGCCGTCACCACGCTCGGAGCCACGATCCACCGCCTCCTCCTCACTTCACCGGCCGGAGACCGAAAGCAGCGGACCAGATTTGAGTTCGCGTCACCGCTCGAGGACGACGACGATCGCCTTGACGCCTTCTACGACGGCGAACAGCTGCGGTACCGTACCATGCCCAACATCGTCGGGGGCGCGCCCACGCACCGCCGGCTTCACGTCTCTTCGCCGAAGCCACCTCACGCGACGCCGGCCGAGAGCCGCCAACTTCAGCGAGGTCAAGGCGATCTGCTGGCGAGCCGCCATGGAGCGAGAGATCAAGGCGGTTGAAAGCTGAGAACCGTCACGTGGGAGCTTGTGGAGCTTCCTCCGGTCACCGCCCATCACTCTGAAGTGGGTCTACAAGCTCAAGAAGGACGAAGCGGGCGCGGTGACCAAGTACAAAACGCACGCTTGGTGGCGCGGTTTAAATCCGGCCGGAAGGGATCGACTTGACGACGTGTTTGCTCCGTGGCGCGCATGGAATCCGTCCCAAGTCCTCGCACCGCGGCCCAAGAAGGATGGCGCGTCCCACCACATGGACGTCAAATCGGCCTTCCTCAACGGCGACCTCAAGGAGGTGTGTCGTGAAGCGTACTTTGCTTCACCGTCGCCGGGAAGGAGAATGATGGTGTCCGCCTCGCATGAGCTTTGTATGGCCTATGACGAGCTCATGAGCTTGAACGCCAAGTCGGGCGCCACCCTCAAGGAGATGGGTTTCAAAGAAAGCGACCATGAAGCCGCTGCGATGTATAGGCGAGGAACAGGAGGAGGCTGCTGGCGATCGGCGTCTATGTTGACGACTTGATCATCACCGGTGCCAGCGCTCAAGCCATAGAAGGTTTCAAGGCTCGGATGAAGAAGGTTTTCGACATGAGCGACCTCGGCCTCTGTCCTTCTACACAGGGGTCAAGTACACCAAGATTCATTTGGGATCACTCGAGGCAAACCCATTATGCCAAGAGGATCCTTGAGCTAGGAGGTATGGATGCCGCAACCCCGCCCCATACACCAATGGAGGAGCGCGAGGTGAGGTTGAAGCGAGCACGGCCTGCAGCTGTTGATCCCGCCCAATCTGAAGATTGGTGGGCAGCTGCTGCTACTTGGTCCACACAAAGACCGACTTAGCCTTCTCAGTAGGCTTTGTCACGTCAATTCATGGAGAGGCCATTGCAGAGCACCAAGCTGCCATCAAGCGCATCCCGAGATATGTGGTGGTACTGGGTTTGGCTCCTGCACTACACTAAGGCTCCGGGGAGAGCAAGGTTTGTTGGATCTGCGGACAAGTGACTTGGTGGGGACATTGACACCAAGCAAAGAGCACTAGTGGCACTCTGTTCTTCTCGGGAAGCAATCTTGTGTCTTTGGGCGGTCAAGTGAAGCGAAAGGTGGTGGCTCTATCTAGTTGTGAAGTCGAGTACATTGCCACTACCACAAAATGCAACACAAGCTATTTGGCTATCCAGAGCATCTTGGCAAACCTCCTTGGAAGGAATGTGGAAGTGGTCGAAATTTGAAAGTTGATAGCAAGTCTGCACTTGCTCTAGCCAAGAATCCAGGTCTTTCATGAGCGCAGATAAGCACATCAAAATCAAGTATCACTTCATCGAAACTGCTTGGAAGATGGAAGTATCGTGGGTTGATCACATATCCACCTTGATCAATTTGGTGACATTCTAACCAAGTCTCTTGGAAGATCAAAATTTGAAGAGATGAGGGAAGAATTGGGCTCAATCACATCACTTCCAAGGACCACAAGGCTAAAGGGAGAATTGTCGTTAGTTAGCCTAGTGTCCATGTTTTCCGATTACCTACTATAGCTATTTACTATTCACTGTCATGTAATTTTTCGGGTTCCTTGGCAACCAAGTTGATCATGGTGCCTTGGCAACCAAGTAGGAATCATAGCATCCACTTTATGCGCTTAGAATATGTTAAGGAGTAGGTACACCACTTGCTTATATATGCGAGTGGTTAGCATCTTTTGTATCCAAGTTGTTATTGCAATTCAATACAATCCAAGCGGCCTGCTAGCCAAGCTGCCCTCCGGCAGCCCCAATTCGCCAACAAAAAAAAAATATTTGCATCTAAAAGAGAAAATTCACAAACCTGACTAGAACGGAAAGTAAGTTTCTTGTCAATATGTTCACACATCACATTTGGCTCAAACTTAATTTCCTGCAGAATAAGAATGTCAAAAGCAACAGAATATTCAACTTTGGAAGATCATCAGGACAGCATTATTAAGTGCACAACATTGTACTAAATTAAAATTAACCATTACTTAAGATACACTTTCGAACAATCAAGGACTTGAACAGATTGTATGAGCACAAGAAGCACATAGGCGAACATGCATACTGTAAGTTAGAATGTGAACTCTAGAGAAATAAATACAGAATTGTGAAGCACCTCATATAGCTCAATTTCTTCATTTGGAGAAAATCCTGCCATTTCATTCAGTTTTGTCAATATTTCAGATGGCTTTCCCAGAGCCTTCACAAAAAGCCTACCGACAAAACTGTAATAGCAGCGCGATGTCACCATGTGAGTCATCTGTAATAAAAGTTCAACAGAATGATTGACAAATATATTAACAAGAAACATACCGAAGCTCTTCCTTCTCAGCATTATAAAGCTTGAAGAAAAGAAGTATGTCTTCTTTGCTCTTCTCAGATGGACGAATTGGACATAACTCCTACGTAAGTAATAATTAGAAACAACCAAGCATCTCAAAATCTAGAAGGCATAAAAAAGAGGGAAAATAGGAGAATAAATAAACAATATTTACTGGTCCAAGTTCAACTTCCAGAAACAACTTCAGCTCAGCATTGTGTGCCTTATTTGAGACTTCCCTAAGCTGCCCAACCTGTGCAATAAAAGAAAATAAATTGAAATGACAAATGGATTGACACAAATTAAAGAAGTAAAAGGCTAGGATATGATGCATATTATTTTTCACTATTTTTGAAATATTGCCACATAAATACATCCTTATTGTCTACTGCAATAATACTAGTATTCTACATTCAAGAAATTCAACCAAACTGATAGATCAAGAGTTCAAATAAACTAATGCTACATGTTACATGTAAGCAAATCTCAAACGCTAAGAAATGCACACAAATTCACTTGTCCTCAAATTGCAAGTGACATGTGAGGTAGAACTTGCAAGTGATATTGGACAATAAAAGACACCTTTTCCACGTAAAAAAGAATGCCAAAAGGGAGCACAAAGTTAAAAAGAAAGGATAAATAAAGCAAATGAAAATAAAACTTAACACTAGTTGAACTTCAAACGTGATGAACCAAGTGTATTCCACATATTTAAGTACTTGATTGAAGTATTATAAGTGTGAACTTCTAAAAACAACAAATGACTTACTGATTGTGCTTCCTCATGGGGGGTCAATGGACGATTCGGCCGGTATGTATGGTTCTGCCTCTTAGCCCACAACCAGAAGCGCTGAAACTGTACAGGGATGCCAAATTCCTTTGCAACTTCCTCCTGAACAATTCATTTGAAAATCAAATGAGACTACCAAAATCAAATGGTGTGTAATGAAAACAAACTGCTATAGCTTTGATGCAGAGTATAGAGCACAACTAGAAAATTAAAGAAATCTGGAATGCGGTAAATGGAATGTTCCAAAATGGTAATGAAAACAATTAATCAGCCAGACCATAAAGCAAGTTTGCTGACTATTTCTGGTAGGTGCCCGTTTAATTTTTAAAGATAGAATTGCAACAGAAAATAACACTGCCTGGAGGGGCTTGAACTTGAGTTCAAAACCACCATAAATGTAGCAACAATCCCTTGCAAATAGGCCAGTAGTATCCAAATATCATAACCATGAAGCCATGGTATGAAAAAAACATGTAGGGTTTTTTAGGCCATTACCTTGAATGAAGTAAAAGGCAACTGCTTCTGAATGCGGAAGCTGCGAACTTTTTCATGGTCCACCAGGTCAAAATATATATTCTTACCAATTTGCTCCTTCAAATCCTCATCTCGAGCAATCTATTTTCATTTTTTACAAACAAAGTTCTATCAAGAGGAGTCACCAAGAGAAAGTTAGCTGCTGGTATGACTGAAACAAGAGCAGACCTTTATGACAGTGTAGAGATGAGCTTCAGCCTTCTCCTTCTTCTTGTGCTCTTTCTCTTCTTGTTCTTTTTTCAACCTTATCTGTAAAAGAACAGTTCAATCAATCACTATCTTCAACGAAAATACTAAGATGATACAAACAAAAGGGTAAAGTATACAAGAACTACTTACCCGCAAATGCTCAGCGATATCCTTCTCATCGACATTACACATTATTTTCTCCTTGTCACTCTCACGTATATAGACAAGCATATAGGCGTTCAATACTTTGTGAATTTGAATGGTGTGTTATTGAAACCAGGGTTTATTTGAGGCAACTGTTCCATACAAAGAAGAAAGTTAATCCAAGTCCACAAGTAATGCATTGTACTGAATGAACATTTGTCATATAGAATGTTACCTCTTCCTCACCGCCATACTGCTCTTCAAGTGCCTTTTAATGTCTTCTTTTGTAACCCGCTCATCATCGAATTTGTACCTGAAAACCAACCAGAAAAATTCATAGATATGGCATTTGTAAAACATTTGCAAAGATATGGTAACTGGATGGCAATGTGCTGTGCATAAGCAAAGAAAGTGATTCCATGTGCCATCTGGTTAAATAAGAGATTACTGTGAAAGAAGGCTCTTTATCACTGTGAACTGTCAGTGCAGCTGATAGAAGATGATAAAGCTAACCAACAGATTCAGAGGATTGCATTGCATGTTGACACAAGACACAAGATGGTGATAAAGCCAGCAATGAGTATGCTGAAGTTGTGAGCAGGGCTGAGTGTAAATATACACAATACCCAGTTCAATATCATGCAGCTGTATATATATATATATATATATATATATATATATATAGGCCCATATGTTGTATATATGAGAGACATTAAGTCTAATTGAGAGGTTATCTTCCCACAAATTATTCCAAGGTAACAGCAGCATGGAGCATTTTAAGAATCACAAATGTCTTATGCTTAAAATGCTGGGCCACAATCAAAATAATGGTGCACACTAGAAAATTATTAAGGCAAACTACCAGAAGACACATCTACCAACATGAACTGAAACTCATGAGATGGAAACGCACCACTGATCCGAGAGCGTTGGCCGAATAAAAGCATAGTAGTGACCACCATGTACTCCCCCACTATGAACAAGAACACTGAATGAAAAAGGACAGGCAACATCAGCATAGAAAAAATGGATCATTTTTGTACGCATGCTGTCAAGATTACATGAATAATGTGAAATAAACTGTCAGAACAAAGAAGACAGCAAATTTTTTTCAAATTTGCACATTTTCTAACACAGCTTCACTATGTAGGGCAAAAGGACAATGTTGCATACATTCAATTTATTGGCCAATTTCTACACTCAGGTTCTTCTGTATTACATTAACCAGAGATCAGCGTCTAGAAAAAAATGTAACTGAAACTGGGGCATCCTTTAAAGGAGAAGTGCTACACTGGTTGGAATTTCACATTTCTATATACATGGATTAGATTTTTCCATTATAGCTGTTGCATCTATATACCATTCAAAGAATTGGAACAGTTTATGACAAATAAATTACCTGTGAAGCGTATAGAGGTTTCTAATACTTGATTTGCATCTGGAGAAAGATATTTTCCATTGTCTCTATCAAGATCAAGTTGAAGAGGAACTCATAGCGGTCATTAATCTGCAGAAGTAGGTAGTTCATCATGAATCCTAGATAATCTTATCAACAATTTCTTAAACAAAAGACATCTAATGTTAATTGTTGAGGAAGCCACACATAGACAACAGAAAACTGAATTAGGCAAACAAGAACATGAAACAGATAATCCTAACAAAAGAAAGAACCAGAGCTACAAAAAATTGATCATGATTTTTGTCTGAATGAGGCATGTTTTATTCAGGGTAACATGTGCATATCCAAATGACGAATTTTTTATATAAAATACAAGGTGCTGGAGGTGTCAATTATCACAACTTAAAAACTACTTGCATCCTAAAGAAGCATCAAGTCACAGTCTCTATTCAAGCAGTATGGTACTGGGCTATGTGCATCAACTGAAATAACCGTCATAATGATCTATTTACTGATAACTTCGTAATTGTAAAGAAAAAACACAAAGTGTAAACAGATGTTTGCCGCTTACCACATTTTTAACATGTTCCCCAACACTCATATGAGTGACTGCACCCAAACAGAAAAAACTGGCAGTGACTAACTGGAACTAATTAGTTCTATTTTAATCCACTTCACAGCAAAGAATTAATATTGTTGGCACCAAAAAAGATTCAATAACCCCCAAAAATAGCAAAATATGTGTTATTGTGTACCAATGCGTACAAAGACTAATTGCATTGTTCCACAGTTCAAGGAGTTAGTAGCAACTGTGATTGTTGAGCGCTTAACAACAAGGAGTCAAAGATACAATCACATCAACTCTATGCAAATTCTTGCAGACCTTTTAGAGAAAGAATTGCTACATGTAACTTGAAAGAAATTACGCAAATATTGCTAGAAATATTGCTAATATCAATCTAAAGCTTTACGATTTGGTCAGTGTCAAACCCTTGGCATGCCATGACAACCAGCATTTCAATTAAAAAAAAAACTATCTGCTTGAAACAATGATAAAGATGTATAGAAGTGGTTTATCATTTTGGCCGGTGGTAGTCAACACGGTTCTAACCTTAACCATTGTATCTCGCATGTAATCATATTCAAAACGCTTCAGTTGAAGCTGCAAAACAGGAGGAAATCGAGGAAGAGCACACCTTTCCTTGCATCCTGAAAACAAAATAAGATTGAAATTAAGGTACAACTATAATAACAAAAAAGGTCAGAAAAGATAATCATAACCGAACTGATAATAATCCACACAGTTTTTTTGTCCAGATGTAGCAGAGTGCTCTGAGTGTGTGTTCTGGTTCGTGTTGCACATCTTTTGTTGGCATTCAATATCATGTGTCTGGTGCTTGCTAGAGTGAATGGGAGAACTGGGGGTATCTTTCTTTGGCGAGGAGAGTTTGGAATTGCAGTAGGCACTGTGGCGCTAGATGGCTGTGTTTTTTGTTCGTAAACTGGTAACCCCAGTAAAACAGATGGTGCTGGCTAAGCTTTCTATAAAGGCCAGGCTGACGTTTAGCCTTGTTCAAAAAGAACATAAGATAATTATGACAGAATTCTGTCATTTCATTGAAATACCAGGAACTTTCCTAAAACTCTGAAAATCAGGTAATCAGCATCTACTACACCTAAATATCCAGCTACAAGGCCACTCATAGAGCAGAATTTGTGGGAACCTGTAAGCCATATCGCTCCGCATGGTATTTGTTATCACCCTCTAGACGCTCCACTTCCACATACTTATCAAATGATGCATAAACATCACGACAACCTTTCACATCAAGTTGTAGATCTGCAAGCCATGACATAGGCAACTATTATTTATATATCATAGATAAATATATGATTTTCATGCAAGTACAATTAAATGACAGAGCCTACCGTAAAATGATTCTTTTCTGCTAGATTTATAGTCCACGTTAATGCACTCGATGTAATTAATGTGGTGGCCTTCAAATAATTGTTCAATTGTTCCTTCCACAACAGTTCCCTGTGGAGAAAGAAAAGTTAATAAAAAGTAAATTGATGTATTGATAATTCAATATTGTCATATTCACCTTCATCTTATCTTCCAGTTTCTCACAAAGAACTCTGTTGAGTTCTTGCACATCATGTTGCATGAAAGAATCATAAGTATCCCATCCAAAGGATTTGGTCAACTCTTTCGTCGCTACACTGTTGTCACTATACTGGAGCTTGTAAAAAAAAGGCTCTGCAGGGCTAAAGGATACTCCCAGATGGCATGTCATTCTCAGTTGTTGGCATATGATATACAGCCTATAAAAACATTTCAATAAATTGGTTCAAAATTCAGGCATTTAGAGAAACGCGTAGAACAGAACAATGATTGATCTCACCTTTCTAAAATATGGTGTATGGTATAACGTTTGAAGGAGAGAGTTCATATAACAGGTAGCACCTTGATTCTTAAGACCTACAAAACCTGTTTCTTTTTTCGAGTCATAAGTCCAATAATCCACCATTCTGCGGACAGCAACCTCAGCTTCTACAACAACGGTGTCATTCACAAGATAGCCCCTGCTTGGGTCATATATAGTCACCCAAAGGCATAAATGATGTGAAACCCCAATCGCTCTCGCGTGCATTAAATTGGTGCTGGGTATCTGCCAAACATGGGACCAACATATAGATTCAACCAAAAGAAATATTCCAGAAATAGTGAGAAACTCAATGTAACTAAAGGAAAAAAAATGTAAAGGTGTTATATTAACATATAAAAATGCCAGATTGAAGGAATTAATGAAAAAAAAGGTTGGCAATCAAACCCTTGTCAGATAATAATTCTAGTATTTATACATCACTTGATAGACTATTAGCAACTGAACCAAGGTTAGCTTCAAGCAACTGTGAGTTGGTAACTGAGCAGAAAAAAGTTCAAAGTAAGAAACAAACTGTTAGGAGTTTTGGGAAATCTAAATAAGCACAACTGCAATCAACACAGTTTTGAGAAATGACTGTTTATGAGGCAGCAATGTGGGTCCGGTACTCCTGTCCAGACATGTTTGCAAGTTTCAAATGGCATGCATTGGACTCTATCATCCATATCCGACATATATCATTATTGAACATATTATACCATGCACAATAACAGTGATCAACTCCGTTATGTGATTGATGATCTACATACATCCTAACAAAAGGCACATTCAACAATATTAAAGCAGCTATTTGCAAAGAAATAGAAGTCAAAAAGAATCTTTCACAATCGACATAATAATTATATTTTCAAGACAACAAATGTGGTAAAGCTGACAAGCACACATGAGAGTTGAGCCGCTAGCTTGAGTTGTCACTTTGCCAAAAATGAAGAGAAAAAGAGACACGCAGCTGGGAAACATCCTACAGAAATCAAGTATGAAAACCAAAAAAAAAAAAACTTACCTAGAAGTGAATTAACACCCTTAAAATTAAAGCAACTTAAAAATAAAGATTCTATTAAACTTAAGAACTTTATGTGTCATGCATGTGCTACATATGCTTCCTACATATATCTTGATTCAGAATAACAGAGGGACAGAGCTTCACCCTTGTCTATGATTTTGCATATTAGTTGTAATTAGTTATAGGCAAATCAATATGCGCCTCATTTCCAGTTAACCTCATGCTAACATGATAAAAGTTTGACAATTGTCAATGATCAAATATAATTGCCAATGACCTCATCATGTTCCAGCTCAGTTGAAGACTTGTAAGTTATAGCCCCAACTTCCATGATGGAATGGCATTCACAAGACAAGCAGAAGAACATTAAATGAAGAAAGAGATACCTTTCCGAATCGTATACTTGGGGTGGATCTGATTCACAACAGCCAAGCTGAACTGAGCATACCGGCTCCACCCGTATGGGAGGTTCCCAGAATCCATAACATCCAAATACATCGATAAGTGATCCACATTGTTCCCCTTGGGGAAAATTAGCACACGCCTGCAAGCAAAAAAGTAGCACATCCATTAAAACCCACCAAGCGTTTACCCATGTTTCCGGCAGCGGTTACAGTGGCAGGAGATCCAAACGCTCACCATTTGTATCCTCAACGACAAACACATCAGAGTAGTGCTTCTTAGTGTTAAGACGGCTGAAGCTCTCGATCGTCCAGGTGAAGCGCGACGTCTGCGGGTCCTCAGGCGGCTGGCTCTCCGCTGTGTTGGCGGGCTCTGTCTGCGCAACAACTAGCAGCAGGAACCATGACAGCAGCCACCACGTGTGAGATGAGATCAACGAGAACTAGAAACACGTAAACCCACGAGCACAAGCACAGAAGGCGCAGGAAGGCTTAGGTCCTCACCTTCCATCGGCTGTGGGGCAGCTTCCGGGCCAGCAACAGGGAGCTCCTGGTGCGGCACCAGCATCTCGTCGTCCTCCTGCTGCTGCTGCGAGGAGGGAAGAGCGCGGGCTGAGGGGTCAGATCCGGCCCGGCGCGTAAACCCTGGCGCGAACCCAAGCACCCTCGATCGGCGCGGCGGCGAGGGGGTGGACTGGCCAGCGGAGATCGGGGCGAGCGAGCGAGCGAGTGAAGGAGAGCACGTACCTCGAGAGGGGGGCGGCGTCATCATAGTCATGGGTCGTCGTCGCCCGCGACTGCGGTGCGTGTGCGAGGCGGCCGCCAAGCGGCGGCGGCGGCGGCGGCGACGGCGTAAGGCGGCGGGAAGAGGAGGAAGAAGAGTCGGGGGGCGAGGGCGAGGGCGAGGGCGGATTCGAGGCGAGGCAGGCGAGGGAAGCTGCTGATGCGGTGAAGGGAGCACAGGTCGGTCGCGTGCTGTCGGGGCGATTTCGTGATTTCCTGGGTCGAGTCGAGCCGGGCACGGCACAGTTCAGACAGGAGCCGAGCTCAAGAGTTTTTGGGACTCCCGACTACCGAGCTTTATCTCTTCTTCTCGACAGAGTCCACAAAACAATAGCCTTCATTTCTAGTAGCATAAAAACTCCCGACTACCGAGCTTTATCTCTTCTTCTCGACACAGTCCACAAAACAATAGCCTTCATTTCTAGTAGCATGTATAGAGACGATTTTCTTCACAATTTAGACCTTGCTTAAAT